ATTAAACCACCAAACACAATTTCAATTTTTTTAAACTGAAAACAATCTCAGAATAAAACTACCAAACGTATGTTTAGAAATGATTCCAAAATGAAAATGAAAACGTTTTCGTTTTCATTTTCATACAGAAAACAAAATCATTTTGGAACGAATTCCAAACGCATCCTTAACTTTTTATTTATTTATGTTTTCAATTTTTCGTATTTTTTAAAAATACTTTTGGGTTTAAACAATATTTAAATGCTGATTACGGAGGATATTCTTAGCATTTTTAACAATTTGATTGATCAAATGACTGGTTTTTAACTCTTTTTGAAAATTTGAAGGATTACGAAGAATCTAGAGAAATTTGATATTTTTAATTTCAGAGAGTATTTTTTGGATTTTCCCAAAACCATCGGGTGACGAATTCGAGCAGTTGACATAATAACTTTCTTTCCCTTGAAATCAAGAAGCTGCTCCAAAATATATCACTTTAGACACACATGCATAATAGTTCCCAAAGAAGTAATAAAGACTAATTTTAAGAAGTTTGATGTTTGTTTCTCCAGTTTTATACAGAATTTTATTGTAGGATAACGAAAAGAAAATATCCTATCCTTACTGTGCAATTTTAAACGTCAAGTTTTTTTTATTTATTAAATCTCATTAAATTTGATTATTTTTATATAATTGCAAATTACAACTTACCTTTAATATATATATATATATAGCATAATCCAGGGTCAAAAACGTGAAATCACTAATGTCGTGTAAAGAAAAATGCGGAAAAAAACGCGTGTACGATTTCAAATAAGAAAAGACGCGCCATTTATTATTTTTATGAGAAAAAAGTGTATTAATTGGATATATTTTTTTATAAGAAATTATCTAGACCCTGTTTATTTCGCTGATTCGAGTTTAAAATTTGAGTTTTGTTACAGTAAAAAGCTCTTACAAACAATCACATCTAACTTTTTTGCTACAGTAAAAAGCTCTCACATAAAATCACATCTCAACTCGAATTAAAAACTCGAATCAGCGAACTAAACAGGCCTCTAATTTGTTATGTCTCAATAAGTGTTTAACCACGTGTCATTTAATAGATTTAAATATTAAAATAAAGAAAAAAACTAGTTAAAAAGATATTTTATTTTTAAATAATGTGGTATAATCTGCTTGATTATACATCACTCTAAATACTGAAATTGGATGAATAATTTGAATCCAAAATTAAATATAGAAAAAAAATAATCTTATAAAAATAATGTAGAACAATCATTAAAAAAAATTTCTGTTCTTCTTCTTCTTTTTCTTCTTTCTTGTATTTATTTATTTATTTTTTTTTGCTATACAAGATCATAAAATCTGCAATCTCCTCAAAGTTCCATCTCACTAAAATCCATTATTGACTATATAAAAATGTGTTCCGTAAAAGGAAAAAAAACTTTATTTACATAAAATTAGAAAACATATTTGCCTTTTTTTCTTGATAATTGATAATTAGAGCATCTCTAATGCAATGTTATATTTGATATGTTAATTATAAATTTAACATTTGAGTGTAAAAAATACTCTTTAGTGTAATGTTATTTGTTGTTCTAAATTTACCATATGTTATACTTTTAACAACTTTCCTCCCAAATATAGCATATTGAAAATTTGACATTTGATTGCTATTGCTTAAAATAATATTGGAAAATTTTCATTTTGTTATCCTCTGTTATATCTAAATTTGAGTTTGGTACCTTCTGTTTTCAAAAATTTCATGCTGGTATTTGGACCTTTTAAAAAATCTCTTTTTGACACCTCATAGTCATTTTTTAGGACACTAAGAGACAAAATTGTCCTTATTATAAAAATTCATTTGTTAACCTGAATTTTGAAGAAAAAAAAGAATTTTAGAAATTGTTATGCCCGTAAAGCATAATTCTTTTTTAAAAATCCATATCTTCAAAATCCTTTTTTAAAATCTTTTTTTTTCTTCAAATTTCTAATCAACAAATGAATTTTTACAATAAGAGTAATTTTATCTTTTTATATCCTAAAAAATGGCTCTGAGGTATTAAAATTTTTTTTTTTTAAAAGGTCGAGATACCGGCATGAAATTTTTAAAAATATAAAGTAACATAAGGCACTAAAATGAAATTTTCCTTAAAATATTTATTTTTTCATGTAATATTATGATTTTTACATTTTTAAATTATTTTAAAAATAAAAAAATTTACTTTAACAACTTTCAAAACTTTGAAATTATCAAAAAAAAAATAAATTTAACATTTTAAATAAAATAATATATTATAAATATCATATCATAATTTTTAATGTTAAATACACAATTGTGCTAAAAATTATATATATATTTTTCTTTGAAATGAAAATCATCTTATTTGCCATTACTTTCAAAATACTCGTACTCATCTCCTTTTCCTATAGCAAGTGATAACACCCAAAAAAAAAAAAGCTAGCGGCACGTGATTTGACACACATCAAGTGTCGTCACCCATTGGTGGACCCACGAATCCCACTACCCCCGACCACTTCATTCCCAAATCCTCAAAGTGAGACCATCAGGTACACCCCAAATCACAGCCAATTTCAAAATTTTATTGGCAGATCAAAAAAATCTAGAAGCTTACACCCAATTTTACGCCATCTTCGTGGCGATTATGATATAGACTCACACGTTTGCCTCATCAAAATGACAGATCATCGATCCCACCGCGACTACATCGAGAATATGGTATTCTACAAAGCACCAGATAATACCCGCTAAAGTTATAATCCGAAAAGCTGGTTCTGGATGGGACCCATTAGTTCAACCTTCGAACCAAGATCCCACGGCTGAGATCAGATAACTCCCGTCGTGATCCTACTGGGCAGAGTCAGCATTGATTACTGGAAACAAACACTGACCCGTTTCTGACTAATGTCGTTCTCACGCAATCCTCACCGTACACGTGTTTCCCAGATATCCGAATAATTATTTCCTTTCCCCCACCTACATATTCTTCGCGCGCCGTACCTACCAGCCAAAAATAAATAATAATTTGATTCTTGGTGCTTAACGTGAACCTTTGTAGAATTCTTGATTCCTAATTTTTTTTTGCTATATAGACCTTGAACTTATTTTTACTCTACGTTTGGTCCCAAACAACAAAATAGAATTGTTGATTGATGATTGGAATTTAATAAAGACAATACTTTGTTTTTTTTGAAAAATTGTAAGTTGTTACACAATTCCCACTCATACCTTCATAGACTTCCAAAGAAAAAAAAAAAAAACTATTCTTGACTTATGATTAGGGACCAAAAGGTCCAAAATCGTCAAAATATAAAGTTCATGTAAATACCTAGATACCCGATCTTTCAAACATTAAACAGAGACAAGAAAAAATAAAAGAAAATAATACAAACTTACCTTGATGTTGATAATCCACGAGTGCTTCTTTCTTTATAGAAGAAAAACAAGGAGAGGTCACAACTATTGTATTGTTTATCTCATTATGTGATTTTATATATTCTCAGATTTTAACTCTCCAACATCAAATCTCTTTACTCTTTATCTTTCTCCTCGTTTCTTTGCATAGATTTCTTTTTAATATCTCTACGTGTTTTATTCAAATCATTAATATTTTTGTATGCCGAAACAATGAAAAACTGATGGGTTATTTTTTAATCTAGTGGGCACAACCTACAATATTTGAATTCCATGTTCTTTTATCTTCTTGAATCATCAGCAGTGAGGTGGCTTGAAGAAGCAAATGACTTATCTAGAGAAAGCTACGCCGAAAGAAAGAGAAGGAAGAAAGAAAAAGAAGAAAAAATAAGATTGTAGAAGGAAAGAGGCGATGCCTCAATACGCGTATGGGAGCTCTATAAATAGAGCTTCCCTCCTCCGTTCAAATATCATCCTGAGTTTTTTGAGATCCCACGGATCAAAGCGTTCCAGCAACAAAAGAAAGAAAAAGAAAGGCTGTTGAGTGAGAGTTTTTGTGTGCCTACATAAGTGTTTTCTTTGTAGAGAGATTGGGTAGATTACCATACCGGGTGAGTGTAAGAGAAATAGTGAGGATTCAACACTAGTGAGTGTGAGAGAATTTTGTTGAGAGTATGCCTCAAGTTATTGTTAAAACTTGAGAGATTGTTGTATACCCATTATTGTTATAGTATAAGTTATTGCCGTAGTTTTTTCTGTTCAAATTAAAAAATTTTCCACGAGATAAAATTCTTGGTGTCCATTTTATTTTTCTATGTAAATTAGATCCTCCAGGGGAATTGAAATTTTGTCCATATTCCCAACAAAAACAAAGCAGTCATGAAATATAGGGGAAAAATAGAATAGAGAAAGAAGAGAGAACAATGTTGTGGGTTATTTTCAATGTATCTAGATTTTCAAATGTAAACAAGAGAAGGTGTTGCCGCATGGAAAGAAGAGTAGTTTTTGGATACCTCTTTAGCACAAAACAAAACAAACTTCTTTTCATAAGTTTAAATAGAAATTTTGAACTAAAACTTAATTTTTGTGAGAGAAAATGTTATAATAAACATGTTGAATTCTAATTCAAATTTATGAAAAGAACAAGGCTTAAAATACTAGGTTAGTTTGCAGAATATGGTTAACAAATTCTTAACATAAAAAGGAAAAAGACTAAATGAAATATTGCATTAGTTAGTTTTGAGACCTAAAAGTTAAAACTTCAAGTTTAGGGCTTGTTTGGTTTATGGATTCAAACTAGATGGTTTGAGCCATAATTCAAATTTTTAAATTTTTATGAAAAAAAATCTTGTAAAAAAATTTTTTAAACTCAAATTTTTATGAGAGAAATTATTATAATAAAACTTTAAATCGGTGTTCAAACCTCCGTACTAAACAAGCCCAAAGATCCAGGTGCTAAAGATAAAAGGTCATGGACCTCTGGTGCAAAAAGATAAAAATAAAAATAAAACGCCACGCTTCCAATTGGCGCGTAATTCCCTGCGCGTGAGCAAAACAAAACCCATTATTTTAATTTTTTTTTTCTAATTTTGAAGGCAGTACTAGTTGTCCTACTTCCCTGGTGCGCAAATCTCCGACTATGCTGACCACAACAGACTCCATCACACGACTCTCCCTCTCCCTCTCTCTCTAAACTTCCCTCGCCTTCTCCCTCTCTTTCTCTCTCTATATCTCGCCGGTGACTGCAAATGGCGGAGCCGATGGGTCTGGACAGCGCCGAGGAGCTTTCTCTCTTGCGACAGCCCAACAATGGGGACCGATCGTGGCGGTTGAACTTCGACGGCTTCCAGTTATCCACTGAGCACAAAGAGAAGAAGCCTACTCGTGGCCTCCATGATTGCTATGGAGTTTTAGGTTTTTATTTTTCCTTTGAATTTCACTATTTATTATTTTTTCTTATCTTTTGATTTTCGATTGAGCATTTTGTGTTGATTGATATAGTAATTTTATCTTTGCTTAATTAATCGGTTTGGTATCTGAGATTGTTTTCTTAATCTGCTCCGAAATAGAAATGGTTGGAGATTTTTTCTTGTTTTGGTACTGATTCTTCGTGTTATTACAACACTAATTAGATTATTTTTCGTGGCGGAATTATTTTATTGTTGCATTTCCGTTTCAATGTGCGTTTTGGTATATCTTCTTGAATTGTGATTCCATTCTTTCTTTTTGTTGATGTGATTTATCTATGTGAGTCAAAAGTATTATAGAATTATACATGTATTAAAATGGCTAGTAGGTTCCTTTTGCCTTGCCTGTCAAATTCTTTGCTATTTATTATTGGTCATGTCGTGAAGAATCTTTGGTAGAGCCTTCCAACTCACCAGGTCTATAATAATTAATAAATGTGAAGTGGATGCATATAACTATAATTTATCAGGATGTTCAGATATTTGGCTTTTTGGAATTTTCAGTTTGTGATTTCCTTGCTTGGGGGATTTTATTTTGTTTTATTTTTTCAACCAGAAATTAGTTGGTTTCTAAGATGATTTCTTAGAGTTCTGATTTGTTTATTGAAGTTGCATAGGTTGGTGGGTTTGGCTCTTATGCTCCCATGGTCAGATGTAGGTTCTACGGTAAATTCTACCCTACGGTAAATTCTACCCTGGCCAGGGGCTTATGATCCCCTGACAAAATCTACCGTAACAATATCATTTTTGGAGCTATCCCACCGTAGTAATACTTCTGAACGTTAAATTTGATCAAAATCATATAAAAAAAAAGTTGCCAAAACTGACAGAATGATGGATCAAAATAGAGTACAAGTGGTAAGGTATTTTTTATAATCTCTTCTTCTTTTTACTTTTTTCTTTTCAAAAAGATATGAGAGCATTTAGAATTTTTAACTTTTTCTTGTTGATTTTACTTCTCACCTTTTTTCTGTCTGCAAAAGAGATTTTATTTATGTAAATGCGTCAGAGTCACTTGTGTGTGTGTGTGTGTGTGTGTTGGCCTTCTTGATAAACCCAAGTGATACTATCAATGAGGACCATGACATGTCATGGACAGATCGTCCCAGAACTAAAAGAGATAAGATCAAAGGGTTTAAGCACGTGCAAGTCCATTTAAATGTTGCGTCTTACAAGTTATGTGAGTAGCACAAGCTAAGCATTTTGAGTGCTAATCAAATTTATTATACAATAGAATCATTAGATATAGCGGTCTATAATACACACACACACACATTTTTTTTTGCGTTTTGCATTTTTTTTTTACATTGCAGTGAATTTGTACATGTTCTTTTATTGGTTACCGTAGCGGTCTGTAACACACATATTTTTTTTGCGTTTTGCATTTTTTTTTTACATTGCAGTGAATTTCTACATGTACTTTTATTGGTTACCGTATGTATACTATCGTAACTGACTAGTAGCCTAATTATAGTAAGACTAGTAGTGTATGGTAGATGAGAATATATTCACTTGCTTTATTCCTATGTTATTCCTCTAATGTGATTCTCCTGGGGGAAAAGGAATATGAATTGCGTAAAACCTGTGTGTATATCTTTAGAACATAACAATATGAGCTCCACTTTATGAGGTTGAGATTTCATAGTTCCATCTTAATCGTTTGCTTGATGGACGCAGGTCCAGAAGATATTGTGGCCGAGTACTACCAGCAGCAGGTAGAAATGCTTGAGGGGTTTAATGAGATGGATACCTTAGCAGATCGTGGTTTTATTCCTGGAATGTCAAAGGTTTAAAGTGCATTCTGCTACTCTGTCTCTGTTTTAGCATCAGAACACGCAAATCCCTGAACTGAAATGATACCTTGTGGTTGCAGGAAGAACGGGAAAAGTTGGCCAAAAGCGAGACATTCGCCATCAGAATTTCTAATGTTGCAAATATGTTTCTTTTTGCAGCAAAAGTATATGCATCTGTTAAAAGTGGGTCGTTGGCCATCATCGCATCCACCTTGGATTCGCTTCTTGATCTTTTGTCGGGTTTCATCCTTTGGTTTACTGCTTTCTCTATGGAAACGCCCAACCCATATCAGTACCCCATTGGGAAGAGGCGTATGCAACCATTGGTGAGTTCTCTTATTATTATTCTTGGTTTGGTTCTAAATTTGAATTTTATATGATAAGTGAATTCTGTATGCAAATGGGAAATGCTAAAAAATGTCTTTTTGTGGCATATGTGTTGCTATCCACCATGTCATTAGTGCAGTATCATACCTGCTGTGTTTATCCCTTTTCTTGCCTGTTTCCTGAACTTATTTCTTTCTGTTAGGAGTACTTAAATCTTTTGTAACATTAGTTGCCAGAGAGTTACTGGCTTATTTTGTAATCCAGTGCTTATGAACGAAGAAGCGTTTGCTCATGTTCCTTATCAATTTTTGTGTTTGATGTCCAATGCATCAATAGTTTAGTGCTTGTGCAGGGCATCCTCGTGTTTGCCTCTGTTATGGCAACTCTCGGACTGCAGATCATCTTGGAGTCAGTGCGCACTCTATTATCGGATGTAAGTTGTGTTGACTAAAATATTTAGCACATGATATTGCCTTATTCAAAGATTATAGATCACTGTCACTTCTGTTTATGGGAAGACCATAATCGTTCAAACTTATCTGTTTACTGTTTTTTGGCTTAACTAATCTACTATTACGTTTCTCATTTTGTATGCTTCTACTAGGAGGCTGATTTCAGCTTGACCAAAGAGCAAGAGAGATGGGTTGTTGGTATCATGCTCATGGTGACTCTGGTAAAACTACTCCTCATGGTTTACTGCCGCTCCTTCACAAATGAAATTGTTAAAGCATATGCCCAGGACCACTTTTTTGATGTTATAACCAACATCATTGGTCTCATTGCTGCACTCCTTGCTAATTATATTGATGATTGGATGGATCCTGTTGGAGCTATCATTGTGAGTGAATCTCTCTCTCTCTGTAGAAACATATCCCACCTTTCCTCTTGCTGGAAATTCTTCTTGGACGATAAAAGGCCAACTTTGTTATTGAAAGACTTAAGGGTGTGTTGTGAGGCTTGTCCTTGCATCTCCATGGATGTTCAATGTTCCTTTAATATAGCACACTGCAGAGATTACCGTAAGATTCTAATTAGAGTTGCAGATTTTTACAAGATCTTTGGAAGTTTAGATGACTTGACTTAGAAAACAACCAAAGGTTTTCATACACGTAGTCATTGAAACAGTCTCTCTGGTGATTGTTCATTTTGGACCACGAGAACTGTTGATATACATACACCAGGACTTCTCAAATGCTATTCTGATGTTGATGCCTCTTTTTTTTTTTTTTCCCCCCAAGCGGTAAGCATGTACTGAATATGCTCACATGTAAACCTTGAACTTGCTGCAGTTGGCCCTGTACACCATCCGAACATGGTCGATGACGGTACTCGAAAATGTCAACTCCCTTGTTGGAAAATCAGCAGCACCAGAATTTCTACAGAAGCTTACATACCTCTGTTGGAACCACCACAAGGCCATAAGGCACATAGATACGGTTAGGGCTTACACCTTCGGGTCTCACTACTTTGTCGAGGTTGACATCGTCCTACCTGCAGATATGCCCTTGCAAGAAGCTCATGACATTGGGGAATCCTTACAGGAGAAGCTCGAACTATTGCCTGAAATTGAGCGTGCCTTTGTCCATTTAGATTATGAGTTCTCACACAAGCCGGAGCATGCTCAGGCACACTCTTAGGATTACTGGCAAAACCAATGTGTACTTAATTCTGTTGTTTTTAATTTTCATCCCACCCAAACAGAAAATCCTTGCTCTATTGTAGTACGGAGTAATGTGGAGACGAATTTAGAATCAAAAGGTTGAGTACGTAGATAATGTCGAGCTCTGCATCCTCTCTTTCTCTCTTTACCCTCAGGTTCCTCCAATTCGCCCTCTTGCAAGTAAATTAACAGGGAAACTGTGACGTATAGAAAAGTAGATATTAAAGAAAATTTTTTTGATACTCGATATTAAATAAAAGTTTGTCATAAATTTAGGGCCCGTTTAGTTCACTGATTTGAATTTTTAATTTGAATTGAGATGTGATTTTATGTGAGTTTTTTACTGTAGTAAAAAAGTTAAATGTGATTGTTTGTGAGAGTTTTTTACTGTAGCAAAACTCGAATTTTAAACTCGAATCAGCGAAATGAACGGGGTCTTAGTGGCGCACTTTAATCTCTTATATTAACGCTGTTATTGGTAAGAGGTATGAAAACTAGAAAGGAGAAGCAAATTGTCGAAAGTAAGGAAAATAAATAATAATAGTAAGGGATTTTTCTCCCTAATAATAATGTGGAGTTACTGCGTCCTCCATTTCTTTACCCATTTCATCCAAATACGGAAGCCAGCAACCACAAGAGGGGGCTTTAATTTTATATGATACGATATGGTAGAAAGAAAGAAAAATAGTAGAGAAAAAGTTTAAGCTGATTTATTTTACAAATATAACCTCGTACAAAATTACAAAATTAGTGTGATTGTCAAAATAGGTACGTGGTACATTATTTGTTTTATCAAATACTTCGTCTTTTCTTTCAAAGTTTAGGGTAGGAAGAGGAGATTGGAAAGGATAAATAGATTCTGGAATAATGAGAAGGCTACACTAGTAGTTTTAGGTCCCATTCGTTTCACCAATTCAAGTTTAGAATTCGAGTTTTACTACAGTAAAAAACTCACAGAAACAGTCACATCTAACTTTGTTGTTACAATAAAAAGTTCTCATATGAAGTCACATATCAATTCAAATTAAAAATTCGAATTAACAAACTAAACGGGCTCATTGTTTGGTAGGGGAGATAAAAAGTCGAGAGAATAGATAATAGTTATTTGTTTAATTATTATATGTATTGCTATTTTATGATTTGCTTGTAATTTTTTTTAGAATAAATAACATTTTGAACTTACAATCCTAATTTTACAATGATAATAGCCTTATTTTGAACTTTGATAATAATAAACAATTTTAGTTTTAAAACAAGATTTACAAGGGCAAAAATGGGTTTATAAACAAAAAAAAAATTAGTAAATATTATTTAAATAAAAATTTAGTAGATATTTATAAAAGATATAAACAAAAATGGACTCTGTCAGACTTCTTGGGTTTTCACGGAATCTCAAGGTTTATTGCTCCTTTTGTTAACACCGACTTGGCTCGGTAATATTATTTCAGAGATTAAAAAAAAAACAGAGAGAAAAGACGATTTACCTTCTTCTCCAAACTTTGGCATGGATGTCCAAATATATGAAGCCGAATAAACAATTAAATGTGGACCCATTTGGAGACTCTATTCTTCCTTTTCTCCCCTCCTGTCCTTGCAACTGAATAATAAAAGTTGGTCTCTATCTCCTTCCAAGTTACAACTTTCCCTCCAACCAAAAGAACATAATATAAACAATTGGATATATTTATGAATAATAGCATAAGCCTTTCCGTAGAAATATATATACAGTAATGATGATATAAAATAATGGTAAGTTTCCTAATACACTAATAAAGGCTCGTTTAGTTCGCTGATTAGAGTTTTTAATTAAGTTGAGATGTGATTTTATGTGAGAATTTTTTACTGTAGTAAAAAAGTTAGATGTGACTATTTTTAAGAATTTTTTACTGTAACAAAACTTAAATTCTAAACTCAAATCAATAAAATGAACGTGCCTTAAAATTCTTATATAATTAAGGTAATATACCGAATCTCCTACAATTAAAGTAATGCACGTAATCTCTTACTATCAAAATTAGTTATTACAATTGATTCACAAATAATATATATCGCAGGAAAGGATATTTACGTATCCTTAATACATAACTTATACGGGTCGTATCAAAAAGTAGCGCGACTCAAAATATCACAACTCTTTTGGTCATGAGTTCTCATTAATTGATTGGTTGTCAGGTTAGGTTTTTATTAGTTTTGTGGCATCACAGTTCCAAGTTGCCCATTGCTGACCGACACTGGTATAGTGGGTCAAATTGGCCCCACCCATTCAACAAAAACCAGGAAAAAATTATTCAATTTACTTTTGGTTTAGATTTTATTTTTTCAATCTTAATTAATATCTTTTTAATTAATATAATTATTTAATTAAAAATAATATTAATTAAGAGTAGAGGTGAAAATTCAGATTTATAAACTCTAAAAGATTGTTTAGAAATTATATTTAAACCTAAATTAGGATTTTATTACAATATTTTTTATCTTACAAAGAATTTAAAATTTAAAATTTTCTCTTTTACAAAGTTTTCCAAATGAACTTAAATCATGATTTAAGTATATGACGATTTTAAAAAATACTCATTAAAGTGTAGCTCCCTTTTATTTCTACCCTTTAATATTAATTCATATATTTATATCTTTTAGACTAGTATTAATCAAGAGCTAAATTTTTTTAAAAATGATACTTCTAATATTTTAGATATTTAAAAAATGAAATCTGAAATTTTCTCCTTGAAAAGAGAGAAATATACTTTCCAAATGAGTTTTAAAAAATATTAATTTTATTACTAACAGTATAACAACAATAATTTTTAACAGCAAAATAATACTAAACTAACCCAATTATAAATCCTAAAATACAAGAAGGCATCTATAAATTGGCCATGTGGGTCTCGACTAGAATGATTCCAACAACATTACATGCTGTCGTGCAGCAGATGATTACCAACACGTAACTTAAAATGCTGTAATTCAACGTTGTTGACTTTGAACTTGCCCATCATGCCATCCAAGTTCGTTCCTCAAATCACACGCCTTTTCTTCTCCTTCATTATTATTGGTCGAACCAATTTCTAAAATACCATATTTTATTACTAACAAGTTTTGCAGCCAAAAAAAAATCAACTCCTCCTGTGTCAATAATGATGAATGACGAGGGAAAATATCTAAAGGCATTTCCAAGTGAAAACTTACAACATCAAGAATGACCTTGATAAATTTTAAAAATTAACTAAAAAATAAAAATTGTAATTTAAAAATATATGATTTTTATTTTTTTAAACTATCACCTGTGTGTATAAAACAAAAAAAAAAAAGTCTACTCAAAATTCTAAAACTCTAAACTGAAGTCATGAAATTCGAAGAACGCATAAAATATCTCGGACAAAAAATATTGAGCTAACTATTTTATGTGTAATTGCTGGTTTTTCTAATATACTGTTTAACCGGAGCATACAAATAATGTGATTTTTATAAATGGCGTGTTTGAAATTATCATTGATGTTTTATCGCCTTGGTGACATAATGACTTGTTATCTCTTTGTTAATATTTGGAGTTTAAATTTTTAAGGATATTTTTGGTATTTTAAAATAGGGAGATTCTCTTGTAGGTTTGGCGTATCAGTAGACTAAGTTTTTTAATTGTTAGATATGCGTATTTTTTGGTTTTTACGTGATTTTATGCAGATTTAACAGACAAAAAACTTGACCTGCCGGTATATTGACGTACCGGAGAAGATTCTTTTAAAATATTTGATCGGTCAAATGTTTTATGTTTCTGTTATAAAAAAGTTAGAGAACAAACATTGTATTTAATAAAACCTGTGGGGACACCTTTAATATGATAACATATTACATCTTGTGTTGCTAGGGTTTTCTCCTAAAACTCTTCTTTCTCTTGTGCCATTTCTACAAGCTTCATAGGGCTGGAGTCCAGCGTCGCCCTTGGGCAGGGCTTTAGACTCCCAACCCAATGAAAGAGTACCTAGATGTTGCTGGTTGGTTTTCTCCGGTGAGGTTGGGACAAGTCCATGGTAGGGAGTCTTGGATGTTATAAGGGTATTTTTCGGCATGGGTTTGGGTGCTGCCTCATCACGTGGGTTGGGCCTCCTCAATATGGTGCTCCTTTGGATGTGTTTTGCGTGTATTGTGGTGGTCAGAGATGGCAGATGGCGAGGAGTGGGTGCATCCCTCTTCAATAGTTGTGGGAACGTGTGGGTGTAGGGCGTTCTTCTTTATGCGGAGGCGGGCGATAATGCGTGATTCTCCCTTCTTTTGCTTCCTTTTGGGCCGCGGGCAGTGTTGCTTTTCCGGAGCTCATCCTTGGTGGTTGTCAGCGAATCATCAGTTTTCCGGCCGGGGTCATTTGGACTTTGACCCTTTGTTTTTATTTTTGTCTTTGTCAAGTAAAGGCGATGTCCTCGCCATTTAGGTTTTGGTTTTTGTTGCTTTGTTGGCTTTCGATTGTAATAACGGAGGTGGTCTCCCCCACCTTCCGTTATAGTCTTAGTCCTTGTGTCTAGTTCAAAATTTATATTTCTTTGAGGTGTTGTGGTTGGGTTGGCCTTAGCGCTTTTGGTCTCTCGATTTTGATCGATTGGAGTTACCCACCATCTATAGTGGTGTGTTTGAAAGAGCATTTTTTGTGTTCGAATAGTTGTGTGCCTCTTTAGTTTCCAGAACTTGGAACATGTATTACCCTCTTGAACATTTCAATTGAACTTACTGGTGGTTCTGATCCTTATTAGGGATTGAGTCGCTAAATACGTCATGGTCTTTTGCAGCTGAATTAGTGCATGTATTTCTCTAATTTAGAATGCTATTACCTTAAAAAAAAGAAATAGGCATGAATTGATTTGTCTTTTATTTTGCACCACGTATACATGATTTACCTTTTAAAAAAAATGATTGCCTATGGTCTCAGAGGAGGAGGAAAAAGGCTGTAGCACTTTCTCACATGGAATATATGATAATTGACCAATGGTAAGAAAAATTAGGATTCATGGTATGAAACTTAGAAACTTGGTAAGATATCTTTTTTATTTGCCAATTTGCCTTTGAAAAGTGAAACTAAGGGTGCGTTTATAAGTTGTTGTAAAATAATTTTATTTTTTATATGAAAATAAAAATGAAAACGTTTTAAATCTCAAATAAAAATTATTTTTAAAAATGCGTTTGGTAGTTTTATCTAGATATTATTTTCAGTATAAAAAACCCATTAATATATATATGTGTGTGTGTGTGCGCGCGCGCGCGCGCTCAAGAGAGGAGAAAATGAAAATAAAAAATGAAAAATGATTAAAAATCATTTTTCATTTCTCTCTCATTTTACACTAAACCAAAAAATCGTTTTCATTTCTATTTTTTGTCTTTATTGCGCCAAACGCCATTTTGAAAATGTTTTCATTTTTTTTTCTCGAAAAACATAAAAAATAAAAACGGGATCAATTCTAAACACGGCCTAAATGTCTAGACCGTATGCTTGGTTCTTCATGATCTGTATAATAGAAAGACAACCATAATAGGAAACTTCCCATTTGGAATTGGATACAAAAGATGAAGTTTGATTCATAGATTCAGAACTAATCTCGGTTTATATCTGTTTTTTGTGAGAGAAAATACTGTAACGAGCCACGAACTATGATCCAAACCATAGCACGGATCCTTACTCCAAACACAAAGAAAACTTCTTTTCAAGTGTCAAAAATATTTGCATACCTTTTTTTTTGAGAATAATATTTGCATACCCTTGCATTTGCTTGAAATGGGGAGAATGACCAAAAAAAAAAAAAAAATAGAGTAAGGAGATTTAGGTACGAGAAACTATCTATTATGCATATATACATAAATATATATTTTTTATTTTGATGTGATTTTAATAGATTTGACCGCTAAAAAAAATATACACTATCAGTAATAGGCGACCTAGATAGACCTCCCTAAGAACAATTCATGACAAATGCCACATGCAAAAAAAGGAGGGGCTTTTTTTGTTAGAGTATCTAAGGGGTTGTTCTTTTGCAACAAAACTCAGAAAAAGTTTGAACTCGAGTTACAACTTTATTTAAGTTTATGTTCTTTTGTAAAATTTGAGTTTGAACTCGAGTTTGAATTCGAGTTTGAACTCGAGTTTGTGACTAAACTCGAGTTCAAGTTTCTCTGTCAACTTGAGTTCATAAACTCGAACTCAAGTTAATAAACATTATTTTTTTTATTCTTAAAAATGCCATAACTTTTTCGTTTTAATTCTGATTTAGATGATTTTTTTTCTATGTATTCACAACGAAAAGGCGGATAAAATCCCACCCATATACCCTATTAAAATTTTTCATCACCATTAAGTTTTTATTAAAATACTATCGAAATACAAATTTAAGTTTTGACTCACCCAAACACGAACTCAAAAAGATTTTCAATTCAAATCATAACTCAAATGTGCATATCCAAACACAAACTCAAGTTACAACTTCAACTCAAGTTATAACTCAAACTCAACTCAAGATCATCACTCAAATCACACTAACTCAAAAATATAAAAAAAAACCTCTAATTAGCCAATTTTTTATTGTTAAATATGGTCAAAATCACATTAAATTAAAAAAATATACAAAAAAAATAATTTTAAATATAGATTTAATGGCCGAAAGAAAAAAAATACCAATGATTTATTTTTATTAATCCTCATGGAGAATTCTCCTAAAAAAAGCATAATAAATGTTTGTAATCATGTTTCACAATGTGCTCTCTGACGTTATGTGATAGCTTCAAAACTTTGTCCCTGTGCTTTGTCCCAATGAGTATTAAGAACATAAACACAATCTCATTTACCCATTTGGAGATCAGCGATTTGTAGACAGAAGGGAAAAAATGAACCCAAAAAAAAAAAAAAAAAAAGACAACAAAATGTCGATTACGCAAGGCCTAATCGGTAAATTTTTAACATTAACGCTGACATCAAATTCTACCCGCAGCCGCATATTGACTAGCTCAATAAATTTTCAAAGTAAATCTAGAGAATCAAATGGATGCAAATTACACGTGTTCTCTTTGTATTTATCTACAAAAGAAGTTAAAATGACCTTTTTAATCTTGTCTTTTTTTAACTCAAATTACAACTCAGTATTTTTTTCATAAAAGTTCAAACTCAATTCTTTTATTATAGTGTTTTTTTTTTTTTATATATATACAACTTAAATTTTTAACTTAGTTCTAAACCATAAAACTATAAAGGGGCAACTATTGATTACCCATTCCACCAAAAACAAAAAAAGAAGCAAGCACCCAAAATTGGAACTTTGTCATGTGCCAACCATAAGACCATTCACTGGTTGTGTTTCTCATTCTGTACGGATCCATAAATAAAGACCCGATACGTTATAAAGTTAATCTCCAGTACCATTAATAAAAAGAAGAAAACAAAACAAAACAAAGAAAAACCTTTAAAATTTAGATCTTCAAAATCCAAACTTTCACTCAAAAGATTCCGGAAAATCTTTCAGTTTTATCTTTCTCCAGCCAAAGTTTAAAAAAAAAAAAAAAGAGAGAAGCAAAATAATAATGAAGGCTTACATAAAAAAAAAAAAGAAGAAAAAGAAAAAAGTAATTTTTAAATTTATTGATTTGAATTTTTAATTTAAATTAATATATAATTTTATATGAGAATTTTTATTATAATAAAAAAATTAAATATGATTATTTTTAAAAATTTTTTTTATAATAAACTTAAATTGTAAACTGTGAAATAAAGGACCTTTATTTTCTCTTTTTTATTCTTTGCTGACTAATATAATATTCTATTCTGATTTATTTGTGTTTGATTTTCATTTCTTTAATCCTGGGGGACTCTGAGAGCCACGAACTCTCTTTGTGGCGTCCCGGTCCGCTATTCTTTTCTTTTTTGCGCGGGGGAGCAGTATATGGTTCAATGCGCCGGTGGTGCGCATGGAGATAACCTACGCATCTCCAAGCTCCACTGACCTCGCCGCCGCCGCCATGCCGACATCCACGACGAGACCGGTCAAGATTATTCCCTTGCAGCACCCCTCTATGACGTCGTCTTCGTCGTCGTCAACCTCTCGCCCTGCCGCTCTTTTCTCCCGATGGACCTCCAAGGTCCAGAGCATGTCCTGGATCGATTGGCTCGAGCTTTTGTTGCCTTGCTCCCGCTGGATTCGAACCTACAAATGGCGCGAGTATCTCCAGATCGATGTCATGGCTGGAACCACCATCGGTGTCATGCTTGTTCCTCAGGTATTGTTTTTGTGACGTAGTTTTTTGTGCTCTCTGTGTTTTGTTTGGTTGCTGAGAAAATGAAGGAAAATTGAGGAGCGGAGTTTTGGCTGGTGGTCTATTTTTTCCTCTTCTGCTCGATCACTTGACTAATTTGTGGTCGTTTCGTGTTGATCAATTGCGTACGGGATACGCATGTATGTGTACGCGTTTTGTTTTGCTTGTTTGCTTCGAAAATGAAGGAAAATAAGATGCGGAGTTTTTATTGAAAGTTTTGCTGATATCTGAATTTGCTTTCGTACTAGTTCGTTTGATCGATTCGTAGTCGTTTCGTATTGATCAATTTGGAAACTAAAATTGCATATATCTGCATGCGTTTTGCTTGGTTGATGAGAAAATGAAGGAACATTTATTTTTTGCAGACATCTTAATGAATTCTCTTTGGTTGGTTCATTTTTGATGATTTGATTGATTCGTAGTGGTTTACTACAGATTAATTGCGTAGTGAATACGCATATATGTGTATGCGTTATGGTCTGTGAGAATGTCTTGATTGGTTAATGCTTTACTCTTTTGATTGATTTAGTCTTTATTCCTTCATTTCCTCAAGACTAAAAGCAAACAGTTTTAGTTCTTGGATCTTCATTTCACGTCTTTCTCGTGCTACTTTTTGGTTCCCATGTTTTGATCGATAATTGGGCAGACTTACCTTAATTCACTGTTAAGTTTCCCTTTTTTTTTGTGATAGTCATAAATCATAATTCAATTTGCAGACTTTATACCTTTGATAATCACAGAAAAGTGTAGATTTGATTGATATCTGAAACTGCTTAACTGTTTGAAGATTTGATTGTTTTAACCACTTAGTGTTCAGCAATTGCACATTGACATCTCTCAGCCCCCCACCAGAAAAAAAAGGGAAAAAGAAAATTTTGCAGTGGGATTAGATATGTCCCATTTTGTGATTGGTAATGGGAGATATCTGTGCCGTAATCCCTTTGTATAAAGATATTTTTTAACTGCAGTTTCTGATATTATTCTTTGTCATTAAGTGTAGATTCTTGAAACATTTCATTTATACTTTAATTATTTGTTTTTTCATGGATGAACAGGCAATGTCTTATGCAAAATTAGCTGGGCTCCAACCAATTTATGGACTTTGTAAGTTTTCAACGCATATTATTAAGTATATTATTTTAATTGTTTTACTTTTAAGATTGCTTGTAGGGAATTTATCGTATGCATATAGATATTTTACTTTTCTTGTTTCTTTTCCTTTTCATTTTGTGGTGAAAGTCAAAAATAATTTAGTCCTAAAGTTCTTCTCTCTGGATTTAGTCTTCTCCTAATTGAAAGGAAGACAGAAGCTTGGTAACAAATCCTTGTAAATTCCGAGTAATAGTGAGAAGCTTGTGTATTACATGGCAGTCTTGGACTGCCTCAGTTAGAACTAATAAGAAAGAGAAATAATACTGGGGTTCTGAAAGTTCTAACTTCTAGTTTGTCAGTGACTCTATCGACATTTCATACCGGTGAAACAAAATTACCAAGTTACTATGAAAGTGAAACTTTGCTTACCGAAACCCGTTTCATGCAGTAACAAAATGTGATTAAATGACATCCATTTCTCGGTTCATTCTACTTCACGTGGTTCATTATATTTAATTCTGAATCTCAAAATCTATCGTACTTTTTTTTTTTTTTTTAAAGTTCTGAATATGTTACTTTGGTTTTGCAAGGAAGACTCTGGTTTTGTGCCTTTATTTGTCTATGCCATATTTGGGTCATCACGTCAGCTTGCTGTCGGTCCAGTAGCGTTGGTTTCTCTCTTGGTCTCGAACGTCTTAAGTGGAATTGTTGATCCCTCTGATGATTTATACACAGAAATGGCAATTTTATTGGCACTCATGGTTGGGATATTGGAATGCGTTATGGGGCTTTTGAGGTATTCTTGTTCATCTATCAAAGTACAGCTTTCTGTATTAATACTAGATTTGAATATCATTAAATGCGTTCTTTGCCAGACACCAAGATAATATACAATTATTGCAAGCAAGCTAATGTTATAGCAAAAACTTGTCAATCGTGCACCTAGGAACAGTAGTCACAAGCTCTGCTGGTTGACGCATGATTAATGTAGGGTAGAACCATAAAAGTAAACTAGCATTCGTTATAGGTTGTTCTCTCTGCCTGTGTGTTATGTCCGTCTGTAAGAATATGCCGATGACCATCTTGATCTTGGGTCTTTGAGCTCTTTAACTAAAATTTTTTCTTTGCCCTTCCAGGCTTGGATGGCTTATTCGTTTTATCAGTCACTCTGTGATTTCTGGCTTCACAACTGCTTCAGCCATTGTCATTGCCTTATCTCAAGCAAAATACTTTTTAGGATATGATATAACACGAAGCAGCAAGATCATACCACTGGTTAAGAGCGTCATAGAGGGAGCACATGGGGTAAGCTTTATATTCTATAGCGTTATAACCTTTACATAGTGTTTATGTATGAGTTTGATATTAGAATTTTTCCAAGAACTCTGTCGTTTTTCTCTTTTACTACAAACAGCAACTGCAAAGCACCCTGCATCTACTTTATTTACTGTTTATGGTGTCACTTATCATATCAATTCATTCTAACCAACAGGAGGTTTTTCATTTTGTAGTTTTTGTGGCCCCCTTTTGTAATGGGATCAATCATTCTTGCAATACTTCTCGTCATGAAACATTTGGTATGATCTAATCCTTTTCTTTTTGGTAGAATTATGTATTCACCACGATTCTTTTTACGATTTTGATTATCCACACTTAGGGAAAATCAAGGAAGTATCTACGATTCCTGAGAGCAGCTGGTCCGCTCACAGGGGTTGTTGTGGGCACAACTTTTGTGAAAATATTTCATCCATCTTCTATATCATTGGTGAGAACAACATCTATCAGTGCCGGTTTAATTTATTGGGCCTCATAAGTTTTGGTTGAAAAATACTTTTGTCTAATTCTAAAAAATAACTTTTGATATATAAGCTATATGAATTTGTCATCTAGGAAAGTCAGAGAGAATTAATAGGTCATTGTTCGCCTAAGAATGCATGGCAAAAGGGCAGTGTATCAGGATATGTAGATATTGGAGTTCAAGATTATAACATGCGATTATAAAGTTTTCCTGCCTTATGTGCTCATGGTCTAATATGGGCAGTTTTAAAAGCTAAATCATCATTACTGTGGGATATGCTCTTTAGGTTGGACATAAATTTTATTGCTTAGGGGTAATTTCAGTGTCACTTTAAGTAAACGACAAATCAATAGAAGCTGACAAAAGACTATGGTTGCTGTATTAGGTAGGAGATATACCGCAAGGGCTTCCAAAATTTTCTATTCCTAAAGGTTTCGGATACATCACGTCCTTGATACCAACTGCTCTGCTCATTACAGGTGTTGCCATATTGGTAAGAAAATTTATGTCGACTGTTGCCATTTTAGTTCTCGTTCTCTCTCTTCAATTGGGTTACAATTATAAGTCCCCTTAAACTACATTTTTGAACTTTAGGAATCTGTCGGTATTGCAAAAGCATTAGCAGCAAAGAACGGATACGAGTTAGACTCAAATCAAGAGGTATGCTTTTAAATAGATGGAATGCATATAGCTACTCATCTTGATATCCTTTTAACTGTTTAGTGCCTAAGAATTGTAAAGACTATAAACACGACAGTTTCTGCACGTTTGAGCATGTTCATTGAGCAAGATTTCTGGATGTACAAGTTCAGTATTATACTTGTTTTCTATTATGGGATCCAAAATCTTACTTGCCAATTTCCATAAAGTTCAAACGTTGTTTTCCACTTTTCTCAAGTCTACCTGTTGTTTCTTTCATGAAATTTGTTTTCTTCAAGAGCTGTTTAAGTTTTTCCTATATACTTTATTGTGCTCAATCAGCAGTTCTTTCTATGAATAAATAGGGCCAAAGTTTGACAGTAGTTTTTTCGATAAAATATCACAGAAACCCATATTATTTGGGGTTTCTTTTTTTGTTCTGGTCCTCGTAAGCAGTTTCCATTTTGTGAAAATTCTTAGAATTCATATGGTTGGAAAATTTTATGATTCAGAGATAAGGAATGAAGGTCTAGCGGTAGTTATCTTCATGTTGTTCAGTGAAGGCAAGAAAAGAGCTATGTGAAATCTAACTGAGCTTCTAACTTTTGGTTTGTTTGTTTGTTTTACAGTTGTTCGGTCTCGGTGTTGCAAATGTTTTTGGTTCATTTTTCTCAGCATACCCTTCAACAGGTGAGATTTCTTTAAGATTTGAAAAGCTGCGTCTGTGATTCATATTCAAGATTAAGGTTGGCAGACATTATGGCTTTGAAATTTTCTAGTTTCATTTATCACGTGTATTTATTACAAGCAGCATCATATGAAAAGAGATTCACACACACATATATTTATATATATATATATATATATATGTTTTTTATGCAACTTGTAGGTTCCTTTTCTAGATCAGCCGTCAGTCATGAAAGTGGAGCAAAAACAGGATTATCAGGAATTGTTACAGGAATCATAATGGGCTGTGCACTTTTGTTTTTGACTCCGTTGTTTAAGTACATACCCCAGGTTAATGAATTTATTTCTTGATTACTGAGCCACACTTTATAGCAACTGCAGCCATATCTTTTGTTCACCGAGTTTTGAAACAACCTTTTGCCTTGTTTCACTATATCCATGATGCATCGTCATGCCTTGTTTAATTATATTGGTTAAAAATTAATATTCTTTTTTTATCCGCATCCACTCCATGCTTTCAAATTCTGGGAATTGCATTTATTTAGAAGGCTAACTGTATGATTTTTTTCTTCGTTATCGCCCAGTGTGCCCTTGCCGCCATCGTGATCTCTGCTGTTATGGGCTTGGTGAGTATTTTACCATTCCATTGTATAGGGCTATTTTACTATTAATCTTTTATGCTTAGAGCATTAAATTTTCCGTTTATTTAGGTATATTGTTGATCTTTGGCCTGGCTAGAATTTATGATGTATGGTCATTTAGTTAGGAGACCAATCTTCTATGAGTTGTGATGAGATATGGATCAATCCCCTTAGATAGCGGTAGTCACTCATCACATTTCGTATAGCATTACCTGAAAATAAATTTTAACTAAGGAAGTTATTATTACATAATTACGTATTATTTTATTTCTAGAGAACATGCATTAACCTAGTATGGAAGTACCGGCCAGCTTTGTAAAGGGAGGATTTTTTGTTCCCGAGTGAAGTGCTAAAGGATTTATGAGACTGCAAGTTTGTGCATATTCGTTGCAACATGTTTTGGTTGGAGTTGGAGAAAATCATCATTAAAAATTATTACAGAAAAGCAATTTCTTGTGTTTAGAATTATTGCTGAATATGCGATTTCTTGTGTCGTTATTTTTCCGTTTCTTCTTGCTAGGCACTTAGGTTTATAAGAATAATTCAGCAATTTATTGCCAATACTTTTCAGATGACAACCTTTTACCTCATTCTCATGAATTGCAGGTGGATTACGAGGAGGCCATCTTTTTATGGCGTGTAGATAAAAAGGATTTTCTTCTTTGGACCATCACTGCCACTACAACCTTATTTCTTGGCATTGAGTTCGGTGTCCTTATTGGGGTGAGTTGCTTGATGCTGTTATATTGGTACATATATAGATTTGGATAGTTGCTTATGCACAAGATATGCGATATATTTTGAGCATATCTATTTCCCTGTTAGTATCTAAATGCTCCCATCTCACATCCACGGATAAGAAAAGTTAACTAGAGCATTTCCTATCAAAATTATTTCCAATAAAACATTGACTGGAAAAATCTGTCAGGACTTGGTTTCAGGCTGACTGTATACGTGGTGTTTTAGTGCATTTATGCTTGGTATAGACTAGTAATGAGTGTAAGCCTTTAGGACAACATCCTGTTATTGAAAATGGGATTTTCTTTTCTTTAATTACATTGAACTACTGTCTCGTGTTTATCTTTCTAAATCTAATTTTTTGGCACTGCAGGTTGGCGCTTCACTCGCTTTTGTCATCCACGAGTCAGCAAACCCACACATTGGTAAGTGGATAATATATCATCCTTTTACGCATAATCAGATTTTCTCCAGGATTGAATTTCATGATCTTGTGCTACTATTTTATTAGACGTTTTGATTGCTTCAAATTTCTGTCGTTGTGTTCTTACTGATGGGCCTACATGTTTTGTTTTGTTTTTTGTTTTTTTCATTGTTGTCTGCATCTTTTGCCATTATCTGTAGGCTGAATGTTAGTATTGTTTTTACTTTGGAAATTGAATGTTATACTTCTCCTTCCACAATTTCTAGAAGATATCATCTGGTTGATTGCCCTTATCCATGATACTTATTTAGCTTTTTTATGAATACTGCAGCTGTGTTGGGGCGCCTTCCGGGAACTACTGTTTATAGAAATGTTAGACAATATCCTGAAGCGTATACTTATAATGGAATTGTAATTGTACGGGTTGATGCACCTATTTACTTCGCAAACATAAGTTACATAAAAGACAGGTAAAAGATTCAAACTTATCATATTTTGGTGAAGTCCATTGATACTGCCTCTTGCTATACCATTTTTCTATTAGCTGGGCAAATATCCAAGATCTAGAGCTGTAATTACTGAATTTTCCAACAGAGTGATCTAAATCATCTAGATCTTTGTCAGGTTACGTGAGTACGAAGCTGATGTTGATAGATGTAGTAGACGTGGACCAGAAGTTGAAAGAATTTATTTTGTGATTTTAGAGATGTCGCGTAAGTCTTACTTATCCTGTTTTGTATTCTAGGTTATGAAAAATTGTGTATGGCAACAAGCATTATGGCACAAACAGAATGCTAAACCGTCTTGTTTGAGAGCATGCCACTGCACCAATCATACCTTACGTTTTAAGTTCTTTGTTTGCAGCTGTTACATATATAGACTCCAGTGCCGTTCAAGCTTTAAAAGACCTGCATCAAGAATACAAGATGCGGGACATCCAGGTTGAATCTCTTTTCCAGTGACGTTTTTTTTCGCACACATTTCTGGTTTGTCATAAATTCTTCAAGACCATTAGCAATCATCTTTGACAAACCATCTGGTTTTGTTTCCATGCAGATTGCCATTTCCAATCCAAACCGAGAAGTTCTACTGACCCTATCAAGAGCAGGTGTTGTAGAGATGATTGGTAAGGAGTGGTATTTCGTGAGAGTTCACGACGCTGTCCAAGTTTGCCTGCAGTACGTTCAAGGGTTAAAAGAGACGCGGAGAACAGCTGACCCTGTCATAGGGGAGAAACCAAGTTTCATTCAGAGGTTGCTGAAACAAAGAGCAGAGGACTCATCGATTGTCCAGTTAGAGTCTGGCTACCTAAGATCACCAGCTTCAGAAGACAATGATCCTCAACTGGAGCCACTCTTGTCTCGAAAGGCTTGAAATGTGCTCGATTTTTCACAACCACAATGCTGCCTGTATTTTTTGCAAGGCAGTGCTTACAAACTTATAGTTGACTTATTCTGTCTCAATTTTTTTAGCGGGTTCAGGTTTGATTATTGTAGTATATAATTAGACTTCTTTTTGTAAAATGTTATGCAGTAAATTATATGTAATACGACCACGAAAATGCATTGGTTCAATCATAAGCCATTAAATATGTTTGAAAAACAGGTTTAAATAACCAGACAAGTTGAATTGGTTGTTTGCCTCAAAATTAAAGAGGGGCTTGGAGTTTTAATGAGGATTGTTTAGAGTTTAAAATCTTAATCAAGTTGCTCAGACTTCAAATGATGACTGTTTTGAGTTTAAAATCCTAGACCCTAGTCAATAATAATTACCAGGATTAGCATAAAAAAGTAATTTAGATTTTTCTTTTGAAATAAGCAAAGCATTTGGGGAAAGAGAACGAAGCCCGAATGCTTTTATGGATAAGCAATAATATTCTTATAATTAGACAGTAAATTAGGATAAAGTGAACAGAAACAAATAATATTCCTAGGCTTTGAAGTCTAGTGTAAGTTAATTGGCCATGGTGTTAGAGTCCCACATCGACTACGAACAGAAATCCTTTACAAGTGAAGCAGTATAAATAGAAGACAGCCTTCAACGAGAAAAGTTGCCTTAAACTAATGAGTAAGGAAAACAAAGCGAGCGGTGGGAGCTGCTCGCCGCGCCGACTATATTAGTGCGCATGAATTTGTGGAGGGGTTATAGGCTGGCCAAGCGTTGACGCTGCTTACTTTGCAGAACTCGCTTGTGCGGGCCTCCCAAATCCCATAACCCCCACCAATACCAAATATCAAATCTATGATTGTTTTTTTTCCAAAGAAATAATACAACGATATATTTTCTTTAAATCGAAGTATATTAATCTTATATTTTAACTATATAAAAAGCGTAGAACGTTGCTCACTGTAGACTTTTGGTAGTCTTTTACGCGCCGTTTGGTGCATTTTTTTTCATCACATTACATTTTGCTCATTTTCCTTATTCTTTTCTATCTATAACTCCATTTCTTCAATTTTTTTTTTTTTTTAAATTTTTTCCCCTCTACTTCCTTTTTTCTTTCTTTATTTTTAGCTCCATTTTTTAAGGTAAACTTTTACACTGATATTTTCTTACGTCTTCTTCGCTCTCTCACGATCTTAAATCTCAAATTTCAACTTTCTCATCGGGATCACATCTTTGCTTGTGATCAATTTTGAATTCTATTCCGATTAGGATCTTTCATTCATTTCATGGTTAAATTAGATAATAAATTGTACATTTTATTAAGCTTGGGTTAGTTAGACATGTAAAAGTAAAGACAAGTGACCAAAAATAATACAAATGCATATCTTTATAAGTTATTGGTGTAAATAATCCTTTTTCTTTTTGAATTTATAGGTAAACTTTTTCTTATATTTATCCTTTCTATTCATAATCCATATTTATAATCTATTCATAATTTTATATCTACTTTATAAAGTACTTCAATTATAATTCAGTACGTGAATTGCATGTACTTTAACTATATAAATATATATATTACAATATTCTAAATCTTATTCTTATATTTTTATATAATATATTTCAGGGTAATCTAAAACTGGAAACGATGATTATAGATTTTTTTTCCTTTTCCTTTTTAAGTTTCGAACACTCTACTTTTTTTTTTTTTTTTATAAATTTTGTTGTGTGGTTATTTTCTGCTCCATGTGTACTTTCAATTTTTTAAATTGTGTTATCTTAGTATTCATGTTTTATATGTATTTCTATGATTAAACATAACTTTTTTATTGTCTTAAACTACTATTAATATGTTTCAATTTTTAAGTAGATTTTTTTTCTGCATATAATTGTCCGTATTTTATATGATAAAAATTTTAATTCTACATGATAAAAATTTTAATTACAACTCAATACGTGCATCGCACATTCCTAAACTAGTAATTTCTTAAAAGGTTAATACCTAAAATACTCATCGTCTCTTTTATTATGCAAAATTGCAAATATTTAAAACATTCTCTATATTTATAAAAACAAACTCAAAAACCCATTCTTATTATGTAAATACCTAAAACATCTCCTGTATTTATAAAAATAAGCCCAAAACACCCTCCTAAAGCAATTAAATTTTTTAAATATCAAGATTATCCTTCCCAATCTTTATTAAATACAATTTAAAGCATTATTAAACCAAAAGTTAAAACTTAAATAATGAAAAACTCTTAAAATAATTGAACTATTTTTTTGATTAGAAATTTTACTCGAGCATTTTTTAAAAAAAAAATTTATTTAACTTTTCAGTTAAACCATATTTAAGATAACATTTAATATAAATTAGAATGGATAACCATGATATTTTAAAAATTTAACTGTTTCAGAAGGTGTTTTGAATCCCCTTTTATAAACACAAAATGTGTTTTGAACATTTACTAATAAGAAATGCGAAAACAGTATTTTAACAAAATAAAAGGTATTTTATGTCTCTTCCCTTCTTAAAACTCTAAAAAGCTCTAAATTTATATATATATATATAATTTATTTCCTCTCGGTTCTCCAATTGTGAAATCTTGAAACCCATTGAAATATCATCTTTTAACTCTTACGTTTATCTAGTGCCAGATCACAGGTATTCTCTGTACACAAAAGCATGTGAAAGATGCGGCAATTCGCTCGACGCTTGTGATGTCTCCATCAGTTACTATTTCCTTTCTCTTCTGAGCTCTTTCAGAAGTTGGATCAACCTATCGAACAAACTGGATCCAGTTAGTGCAGCCCTTCGTCCATATAGTTTGTAAGAGAAAATTATAGATTTCACTTTTTTAGTACTTAATTTAATGAAAAGTATTTTTTTATTAATTTTATTTCTTAATTAATTTTAATTTAAAAAATAAAAATATATAAACTAATATTTAAAGAGTAAAAATAAAAAAAAATAAATTTCAAAGGATATTCTTAAAAACTTTCCGCAAATAATGATATGGACCCAACTAGCTACCGCTTGAAGCTTCTGATGTAGGGCCCAGTGAGTACCGATCAGAGTCAGACTGAAGCCATCGAGAATACCAGGTTTAAAAGTCCTATTTGAAGCTAATATTTGCAAGCACAAGACAAATCCAAAATAAGATTTCTCACGTCTTCTCATCCAACAACAAGACGAATATAAAATTATGTGCATCACGTGTTTGTTTTGTCCTGAGATAGCCACAGACAACCCAACCTCTCATCAACAACAACAACAAAAAAAAAAAAAAAAAAAAAAAAAAAAAAAAGAAAGAGAGAGAGAGAGAGAGAGAGAGAGAGGAAAGTTTGTGCAGGTTTATTTTCCAGACTTTTTCCTAAGAAGGTTAATTTAATTTCCTCTCTCTTATTGTTGTGGTTTATTTCTAATCACTGTCATAAACTATCAATTTCACACATTTTTTAATTAATTTTGATGTTACTTTGTTCAAATTTTGACATTCAAAAATATACATTATCGATAAGTATTTTTTATCATAAAAGCTCGTCATCGTCATATATATGATTCGGAACCCACGTATTGTATAGTTTTTTGCTTTTGATTGAAACAATATATTATTCAAAAAGCTATAACTAATAGATCAACTTGGGTTTGTAATCATATATATGAGGATCTTTTTATAATAAAGAATACTTACTGATAATACATGTTTTTAAACGTTAAATTTGATGAAAATTAAATTATATGGTTTGGGCTTATTGTTAAAGTATAAAATTATTATTAATCTACCTTCTATTAGTTTAAATTTTTAGGATGAATTGGTAAATTAACATGATATCAGAGCGAGAGGTCCTGAGTTTAAACCTCCGTAATTATACTATTTATTCCCATTTAAATTGTCATCATGTGTTGAGTTTTTAATATATTTTGAGCTTAAATATTCATGTGTTGAGCTTTCTAATTAATTTACCTACACAATTATCTATTGTCTAACCCACATGTGAGAAGAAGTGTTAAATTATAAAATTATTATTGACTCGTCTTCTATTAATTTAACGTTTGATTTATAAATTTAGAATTATTTTTAATTTATATATATTTTTTATAAAAAAAAATATTATAATAAATTATAAATTATAATTTAAATCATGACACGAATCCATAAATCATGAGAAGTGTGTTTGGGATGGACTTACGGTTCAACCTTTTGAGATATTTGTTGCGATCACCATCATGCACAGAATACAAGATATAATGCCAGCAGGCAAATATCACTAGTACTGCTGGCTAGTGGCTACTGCAATAATGGTTGTGGATTTTATTGCTATTGTGGGTGCAGTATTTATATACACTGACCAATTTCATATCTTCATTTAGGTAGGTTTTTATAATTTTGATATATGCAGTGTTATGTTTGTCTGATCTCTCAATCCAAAGTCGAGCAAATATATAGCAAAACCCTGTATAGCCACATAAGGGATAAAAAAAAGAAATGAAAAAGATGATACATAAGAAGAATTCAAATCAGGGTACTTCTATTATGGAACTATAATCATGATTTATAATTTTGACTTCAACTTATGATTTTAAAATTATGATTCAGAATTAATGATTTGAATCACATTGAATCAAGAGGGAGGTAGTTTTAGAATCATCAGTGATTCTGGTTTAAAATATCACATTAGATTCTGAATCATAATTTAAAATCATTCAAATCAAACATTTATTCTGAATCATGATTTAAAATCACTGTAAACAAATACTGATTCTGAATCAAAATCCAGAATTATGATTCTAGATTCATCTACCAAACGCAAGAGATTACTACAAGAATAATCACTTTAAGAGACCAAACTTTTTGATACCAAAAAATTTTTAGTAGCAAAAAACATACTTTTTACTACCAAACTTTGGTAGCTGAAAGTATCAAGACTTTAGTTACCAAATTTGGTAGTAAAAATAACACAATCCGCTACCAAATATAATTTGGTAACAAATAACATTGCGGGAAATGAAATTTGGTTCCCGTCAATAGTTTTTTGCTACCAAAATAATATTTGGTAACAAAAGCATAAGATTCCGCCACAAAAAATTTAGTAGCAAAATATTACTTTTTCGCTACCACACATGTTTTGGTAACAAAAAGTTGGCGGGAAGCAAAATTTTTTCCCACCCGAGGTATTTGCTACCGAATTATTTTTGGTAGCAAAACATATAACATTTGCTACCAAGTGTTAGAAGTAAAATATAACTATCTGCCACTAAAATTTGGTAGTGAAAAATCAAGTTTTTGCTACCAAAAAACATAATTTTTTGCTACCAAATTTTTGTAGCAGAAAACAAGAATTTACTACCAAATTCTTATTTTGGTGATAAAAAGGCGTTTTTTGCTACCAAAAGTTATGTTTGGCAGCAAATCATATAAAAACATTAATATTTATATTTTGAGCTTGTATTGCTTTTTTTTTTTTTTTTCAATTTTCTATGAATGTCCTCTATTAAGTTTTAACAATCATCCTAGTATATTTTGTATAACAATTATTTGATAATTTAGTTATTTTGTGTAGGTGTAACAAGAGACATGTTCATATGTATATATATGTGATCTTGTTAATTAAGTATATGTTCTACATAGAGTAGTATATAATCTTGCTATTTAATTAATTTTTACCTTTGAATAATGTATTTCAATTTCAAAACTATATTTTTGTTATAATGTTACTAGAAAAATGATTCTAAAATAAAATTTGTCATTAAAATGTTTTTTTTTTTAATTTTTAACATATGTCTTTTTGGTACCAAATTCAAATTTGGTAGCAAAAAAAATATGCTTTCAACTACCAAAATAATGTTAGTAACAAAAAATATAATTTTTTGGTACCAAATTTTGGTAGTAGAAAACATGATTCTGCTACTAAATTCATATTTTGGTGGCAAAAATGTATTTTTTGCTATCAAAAGTTGTGTTTGGTAGCAAATCATATAAAAACTTTAAAACTTATAGTTTTTGCATGTATCGTTTTTTTTAGTTTTCCATGAATATGTCCTATATTAAGTTTTAACAATTATCCTAGTATATTTTGTATAACAATTATTTGATAATTTAGTTATTTTGTGTAGGTGTAACTAGAGACATGTTCATGTGTATATATATGTGATCTTGTTAATTAAGTATATGTTCCACATAGAGTAGTATATAATCTTGCTATTTGATTAATTTTTAACTTTTAATAATGTATTTCAATTTCAAAACTATATTTTTTGTTATAATGTTACTAGAACAATGATTCTAAAATAATTTTTGGCATTAAAATAGTTTTTTTTAACATGTCTTTCTGGTACCAAATTGAAATTTGGTAGTAAAAAATATGCTTTCGGCTACCAAAATAATGTTTGGTAACAAAAAATATAATTTTCTGGTACTAAATTTTGGTAGCAGAAAACATGATTATGCTACCAAATTCATATTTTGGTGGCAAAAAGGTGTTTTTTGCTACCAAAAGTTGTGTTTGATAGTAAATCATATAAAAACTTTAAAACTTATATTTTGTGCATGTATTTTTTTTTTTTAGTTTTCTATGAATATGTCCTATATTAAGTTTTAACAATCATCCTAGTATATTTTGTATAACAATTATTTATAATTTAGTTATTTTGTGTAGGTGTAACAAGAGACATGTTCATGTATATATATATATATACATATATATGATCTTATTAATTAAGTACATATTCTTACTATTTAAGTACTTTTTAACATAGAATAATGTATTTCAATTTCAAAACTATAGTTTTTATTAAAATGTTAAACAATGAATCTAAAATATATTTATCATCAAAATATAAATCGAGCCATGCTGATTGATCCAGGCCAATGAACATATGCCACCTCATCAACGTCAATCTAAAATGATATCTAATACTAGCTAGGCAGTGGTGCTGTGGTACAACTTGGCATAAGCAAAAGACGCTGAAATTTCAGTGTACGTATTCCTCCTTCTCTTCTTTTTTCTTTTTTCTTTTTTATTTTTTATATTTATTTAGAAAGATATCCAAAAACTTTATCTAATGGTAGAGGTGCACGTAAACTTAGTTCTACTTTTGGGGAGAAAAATAAAAGAAAAAAAAAATAAAAAAGGGCTGCTTATATAGCAGATGCTGTCAATCAACATTTTGTAACCATTTGGGGAGCTTTTCACGGACCACAAATGAAAATTACATTGATTTGGGGACTACATTTGCACTACATTTAAAGGAAAAGATAATAATGGTATCTTTTATTATTTTTCCAAAGATTTGAAAACAACTTACACAGCCAACAAACAGTAATTGAACTAACCTCAATTGGATAAAAGAAAAGGATAATAAACATAAGGCGAACATTGTAAAATTTTCATAGCTAAAAAAAAAAAAAAAAAAAAACACACACACACACACACACACACACACACACACACTAAGATCTATGGATGTACAATACGTTTAATTAACTTGCCATATGAATGATGAAACAATTATCAGGGAGTGCACGTAGCTCCCAAATATATTTGTCATATGAAATGACGCGAGTAAGCGTATGACGTTTGCATGATATCTCGTCAGTTGATGTGGGCGCCGCTCCGGCCGAGATCTTGTACTTGTTAGTGCATTTAAACATAGTTCTAAACATAGGTGTAAACATAGTTCCTCATTCCATAATTGCATTTTTCTGCTGATCAAACTAATGCATGCATTTTGCTATGTTAGAGGGAGAAACGTTACGTGCATATGTATTAGCTAGTCATTTTTATTCAATCATAAATTTAGATGTCAATTCGATCTGAAACCACAAATAAACACAATAGTTAGCGCTCACATAGTTCCTGATTATATGGGGAAACGCATTGGGACTATATACGTCTATCATCGACACTCTAAACATGATAGAGTCGGATTTCTATTAGATTATTTAATTCTTTGCCTTGCGAACCTTCTTATGTGAAAGGTTGATATGTAGTGCTATTTGCACGTTAATTAATTATGCATTGATCAGTTGATCTACATCTTAATGATCTTGCACTGAACTTATTATTTTATTACAACAAGAAAAGAAAGGAGGATGCAAGTCAAGAATAAAACAACTTGGCTCAATTATTTGCTTCAATTATTAGTTTAGGTTCTCCATGTATAACTGCATGCGCAATGGTGTGGTGGGATCCACTATCCAGTCACCCCATATGGATGCGCTCTGAGCCATCCGATTGGAACAATTCAAGTCATTTGGTACAAAAAGATGGCTGACATCATTGAAACATAAAGATATATAGAGGCCCTAAAAGTAGCTAAAGCTAATTAAGATCCTAAAACTATCAGGTGATCTCCCACCAAAGTTTGGCTCCTTTCTGTATGCACCAATCGAGTGTAAGTTGATAGTACGTTTACTGCTTCGAATATTGCTACGTTCTTCAGAAAAGGCTAACTTCAAAATGTCGTATTGGCGGGTTGATGATGTAATATAATTAATATGTGTGTGTGTGTGTCTATATATATAATCATAGTGCTATAATGACCAATGAGTGCATGCCACCTCACGGAATGGGCAAATTTTGTATGCTAGCATAATATTATAGAAAAAAACATGAATTATCAAGGTATAATAACACTGCACGGCTTATCATGAGATGGACTAAGAACATTTCCTTTGAATTTGATTCTTTTATGTGTTGGACTTTTGTAAATAATAATTTTGTTGTGGGGGGAGGGAAGGTAAGTGAGTTTTTTTTTTTTTTTTTTTTTTTTTTTTTTTTTTTTTTGGGGGGGGGGAAGGTAAGTGGTTTTTTTTTTTTTTTTTTTTTTTTTTTTTTTTTTGTCTATGGAGGGCGACCTGGCCCTAGGCTATATGATGAATAGGAGGATTCTTGCGAGCTAGAAGTTTGTCGTTTTGGGAGGATTTCATTGGAAGGTCCCACTCGTCACGTGGGGGGAGGGGGAGATGCCTAAATGGCAGTCCTATAGGACAGAAAATGGTCATTCACAAATCTCCTCTAATCCCTTCTCAACCAATTATCATCAATCTCCCACGTGGGGCCTTGGCCCCACCCCACCACCCTCTCTTCCCCTTTTTAATGTTGTCACTACTCTTTTGCCTTTGCGCCTAATGAATAGCACCTTGTTTTTTTCTCTTGCTTGTTTCAAAATCACACAAGGATCAAAGTAAGTTGTTGAGATAAGATACTAGATAAGAAGGGTCATGGGGGACTCTTCCGCTTCATACATACACATGGTGAGTTAGAAAAGAGGTTAGAAGTAGTCTTTTTATGATGATTAATTGGTATTTAAATATGTGATAGTGTTTATATTCTTTTATGCATGATGATTTCATATTCATATTCAAATAATAAGGTGAGTTCGTCGGAGCAAAAGAATTATGGTCATGAGTTAAAAAATGATTAGAATTCGTATATATATATATATATATATATTTCATGTTCAATATGTAGCTAGGGTTTATGTATATGTTTTAGCAATTTTTTCGATGTTGTGGTTGACAATATTGATTTTGATCACTTAATTTGTTATATTATATAGGTGCAACACCTGATAGAGAAGTGTTTGATCTTCCGTATGAATAAAGAGGAGTGCATGGAAGCCCTCTCTAAGCATGCAAACATCAAACCTGTCATCACCTCCACCGGTTAGATCATTTCCCTACAAAGTTCAAACCCTCTCTCTCTCTCTCTCATTCTCTCTCATCCATGATCACATGCATGCATACAGGACGCAAGCAATATTTATGTTTGACAATCACGCAAGCTCAAGTGCATTAAGTGCTACATATATAATAGTACACAGCAGATTAAAAATTGACATCATCCAACCCGTTTAATTTGTAAAGATCATACAAACATACGAAAAAGGATTAAGTAGTTAACTAAACAAGAGCAGAACACACAAAAACCTTGGTTTTTAAAGTTTTATTAGCTCCCAACTTGGTCTATAACTCCCCTTTAACTCGCCTTCCATGCTTGAATGATCAACCCGATCTGGTTCAGGCACTTGTACAAGCCTGATTGGCTGGAGCCCACTTTTAGAAGTTTATGTGCACGCATGCATGTGTCATCACCTCCTTGGTCGTAACTGGTAGAGCAAATTAAATTGAAGTCTTAAAGTTATATTTGTAGCCAAGTAATTACGAGGACAGTCCAAGAAATTATTTGGCTTAATTTTTGGAAAGGTATGATCCCCAAGATATATAAGGTCGAAACTTCTAGTTCTAGGAATTAGCCAAAAAAAAAAAAAAGAAAAAAGAAAAGAAAAGAAAAGAAAATCTTCAACTCCTAGGGTAAGACCAAATTAACATCGAGCTATAGGGAACTTTCTTTCTTTTCTTTATCTTTTTTTTTTTCTTTTTTTTCCCCGTTCCCTTGGTAATAAGGTAGGGAACTTTTGTAGTCGACTTATGATCTAGCAATTTGTCTTTCCAAGCTGCACGTGTGCATATAATAATATACCTGTGCATTAGCCATCAGGTCTTATAATAACTGCTTAACGTGCAATATACAATGATGCAAAAACATATATATATATATATATATGACATATATACATAGGATATCCTGTCCTGTTCAACTTATATATATATATATATTTATATTATGTGTGCAGTGTGGAATGAATTGGAGAAAGAGAACAAGGAGTTCTTCGAGGCGTATGCTCAATCCCAAAGCAAAGAAGACAAAATGTCGGAGGAAGAGACAAGCCAAATGATCCAGAAAATGTTTTCGGATTCCTCCAAAGATTCCGACGATTAACATATAGGCCAGGCCACCTCGAAAACGATCTTACCTTTAGGGTTGTTCTGGTTGGTAACAAATTATACATCAATTCAAGCATCCAGCCAAAACCAAAAAAGGCGAATATTTCTAAGAATATATATATATATTATATATATATATATATATATATATATAGTCGTACTAGTCTACTACTTCTATAACCTTCATATGTGGTCCCCATTTAACGCTATATATATCATGTATGAAAATAATGAATTACAATGTGGAACTCTTTATTGTTGCATAAACACAAATGGTCTGCCTTCCTCTCTCTCCTCTCCTAATGATTCTCGTCCACGTGGCCTGCATGGTTCATGTAGCGACCAATCGCGGCGTGCCATGCTACTTGTACTATCCAATAACTGATCAGTATTGGATTCTGCTTATATAGTTCCATTCCAAATTATAAGGCGCTAGAATTGCCATTTTTGGCCACATACGGGGAATTTTGTTCATGCTTTTGTCGTATTCATAGTTGTACTCGTATATGAATGCTATTGCACTGACATGCGATGGTATTATATTGCTGAGAGAGAGAGAGAGAGAGAGAGAGAGAGAGAGAGAGATATGAATGTCGGGGACTGTTTTACAATTAAAGGCCTCGTCGCAGTCATATACTTTTTTTGTGGTACATAGGAAGGCGATGTTCACGGTTTTGTATAAGCCAAGATTGTAATCAGTGCTGACCTATCATCACCTTCAGTATCTCACTTGAAAAGATAACGTGAAACATGCACTTCAAGTAGGCTACAATTTAGCCTTGGGATGGAATTGTTTTGGGTCTAGCCCAAAAATTCTTTAAAGGGCTTTTGCTTCAACCTCAATAGCATGTTTGATCGGTGGTTTTGATCCAATCAATAAAATTATAGAAATAGTAGAAAATAAGCCAATATGAAAAGCTTAAGAAAGTATATAGGCCAATTTTTAGTTATAGAAATTAATAGGTGTTGTGAAAAATCGTAACGCAAGTATACGCTATCGCAATCAAGTAATATAATAGTGAATAAGAATATCATCACACGAGGATGGTTGTTTACTAATTACCGAAATTATATTAACCCTAATTTTATTTGAATAATTGAAAAGTGAGTTTATAAAATTAAGTAAAGTAAAACTAAAACAATTAAATAAATTAAACAATGCTAGCAATGGATGAAAATTCAATAGATTAAGATTCTAGGGTTTCCGATTTCACCAAATTAATCATGTTCAAATTCCCATAATTCAAGAAAATTAACATTCAATCCTATACTGACAGTAATTTCTCTAAAGCAATTATTATTCTTTCTCAAGCAACAATAATATTAATCCAACAAGCAAAATCTACATCTCTGTTAGACTTCTAAACCTGTTGAAAATCATTAAGTGCAAGAAATTCAAAAGAACTGCACAAGCATCATAGATATCTCTATCCTATGAATAACTCATGGTATTTCAATTAAGAGCTTAGTTAATTATCACCTCTCGGTCTCAAATTAAATACAAAATAATGTAATAGTTGGCCAAACAATCCCAAGCATTAAGAATAAATTGAAATACTCAGCATATATAGATTAAACATCAATTACTTAAAAATAAGATTGAGAATTTGAACATTCATAATCCAGCTACATCGTAGCCCTAGAAAAAGGAATTAGTTCATCTCTAAACAAAATAAATTCCTAAACAAAGTCTTAATCATTGGAAAGGAAAGAAAAGAACTAGTTTGGAGTTGAATTGAAGCGTCTCCGTCTCCGGATTTGAGCCGTTCTTCTTCTCCGTCCCAATTCTCCTTTTCTTCTCTTGAATCTTCTCTCAAAAGCCAGCCGCCATTCCACAGTCTAAAAGTCCATTCTAATTGCCCTAGAATCATCTATTTATATGTTTCCGAGCATTAGGGTCAAAACGGGTAAGTTTTCTCCCGATTGGCCTTCAAAACGCGTCTTTTCTCGCGTTGTAGCTCCGCGGCGCTGAGGCGCTACTGGGTTTTGGTGGTTAAAATGAACAAGTCTTTGCGGGAGCAAGTCGACGAGTTTATTAAAGAGAATGATGTACTTAAGAGGGTTGCTGTAAACTATGAATTTTGGGCTGTTGAAAAGGAGAACAGTTGCAGGAGACAAGAGTTGAATTGGAGCACACTCAAAAGGTATTGAAGATGATGAATTCCGGCACCATAAAATTGGATCACATTCTCTCGATAGGAAAAGCGAGTGGTGATCGACATGGCCTTGGCTATACTAGTGAGAGCTCAACGTCCAAAACAGTGTTTGTAAAGAAGACGTCTGCCCCTAAGCCTCTAACTTCCTCTAGTAAGAAGGTTACTATCTCATCCCCTCGACAGAAAATGTTTGTCCCTACATGCCATTGCTGCGGTATACATGGCCACAAAAGACCAAGATGCTACAAGTATTTAAATGCTTTGAAGAGAGGTATGCTTATTAATCCACCAAATTCTGCAAACTCAAAGAAGACACCTAATGTGAAGATTGATGTGAAAAATAATTTTTCTAGATGTGTGTGGGTAAAGAAATCTGATTTGAGATGTCATAAGGCTTATACTTCTTTAGAAGCATGTACTAATTCAGGGGGAGTAAGACACAGGAAAAATTCAGGGGGAGTAAGCTACAAAGATCAATGCCCTCAAAGATATCTAGTGCAAAGTGTTGCATCGAGTGTTCCAACTAATGTTACAACATGATCTGCGACATTAACTGCTGAAGACGGTTCTAGGGTGTGAATTTTTTATTTTTCTTTATTTTTTTTTCGTTGTGTCTTTGGCTTATTTTTGTCAAAAGGGGGAGAACAATGTAATCCTTTATGTTTTTTTGAATTTTAAGGATCATTTGTTAGTTTTGCCAAAAAATGCCAAAGGGGGAGATTGTTAGGTATTTTTATTAGTTGGCAATTTATTGGCAATCTTGTAAAAATTCAAAAAATAGGTTCAAGAAGATTTCAGATTGCAGAAGAAGAATTCGAATCAGATTTGAAGTTAAAGTTGCATATTTTGTTGAGTTGAGATTTGAAGAGATAAGGATAAAGGCTTGGTCAAAGGAAGATAAGACATTGGTTGAGATTTGGAGAGATAAAGATAAAACATTAGTTATTTGAATTTAAATGGGATTCTAGAATGAGATAAGGATCAAAAAGATTATGTCGAGATTTTATTGTGATGATTATCCGGTTTTTTGGCTTTTGGTTGGATTCGAATTTGAAGTGAATTCGAATTGTAATCGAAGATTGATTTGGCCAAAGAAAAATATATATATATATTTTTTTGGATTTTTGGATTGTACGGGAGATTAACTTGGAGCCAATGTGATATCTAAGTCATTGTATAGATATATGTGTGCGTGGAGGCATTGACGTGGAGATGGCTGGAGAAGATTTTGGAAAAATATAAAGAGAATCGGAGCTTTAGTTTGAAATTAGATTCTCGTGATCTTTTGGAGATATTATTAAAGGCTTTGGTTTCAACTAGAGAGAATATGGGTTTAATTGAATATTTTCAGAAAAGAGTCTGTGAGTTTTTGTGAGCCTTGTGCGTTATTGAGATCATCCTTCTGGAGAGAGATTTGTTGCTTTCGGGAGGAAGCTCTGTCGATCGAAGGGAGTTCACAGTGCAGTTAAGAAGACGTGTGGTGTACGCTAAACAAATCACTGTGGAGATTCGTCACAGCGGCGTCGTTGTCTAGGAGGGAGTCCTTGAGTGAATAAGTCCGTCCAGTGTCTGTAATTTCTGGAACATAGTGAACTGTTTATTGTCTGGGCGTGGCCCCGCAAAGTAGGTGTGCACACCGAAATGCGATATCATATTGTGTGTTCCTTTACTTTCTGCACTTTATTTTACTCGAGCAACTGAACGTAATTAACTCAGATCTAACACTTTTCACGATTTATGTTCTCTGTTTTTCGAGATCTCTGTTCACATTTGGATTCAAATTATCGAGGATATTTAGGCCCCAGTCATTTCACTGATTCGAGTTTATAATTCGAGTTTTGTTACAGTAAAAAGCTCTCAGAAATAGTCACATCTAACTTTTTTGCTACAGTAAAAAACTTTCACATAAAGTCACATCTCAACTCGAATAAGCGAACTAAACGAGCCCTTAAAATATTTGGATTCCATCTGGAGCCGTCGGCGCTACATAGGCAAAAGTGCAATTTTTGGACTCTAAATGCACCCGAACTTACCTTTTTTGAGCCCAACTTGGAGAACCTATAAATAAATGAGTATATGGCTGAACCAAACATTTTTTTTTCTCAGTTTTTCATAGCCGTCTTTGGAGAGAAAAAGAGAGAAGCCAAGGAAGAGAATTTTATTGAAGATCAAAGAAGAATTGTCGCGTGAAGATTCTTTCAAGATCATCAACAAGAGTTTTTATTCTTTCTTTCTTTCTTTAGAACTCCAGGTGATTTTTATTTATTCTTGCTTGTTTAATTTTACAATTATGCTAGGTTAGATTTTCTTTTGGTTAAGGGTGATTTCAAAAACGTAGAAATGGAATTTATGTTTGGATGATTTGATATTATTTTTCAATTTCTCAATAAAAATCGATTATGTTCTTCCATTAATATTGTTCATGAATATTTTCTTGTTTTCTTTAGGTGATCAACTAAATAGGACTTGAGAATTTTCTATTGTTAGTTAGGAATCTTGATCCATAATTATCTTAAATTCTCAATTGTTAGTAGCAAATTGTGATGATTGATTGTGGTCAAACTTTCGTATAATTGCATGAAAAATATAACCTAGGTTAGATAATCTGAGATTGTGTGATTGTCGTTTAGATCAACTTATCTTTCTCAACTTAATGCTTACGTTAGATTGAATCTAGAAAACTTATTCTAGGTTGTTTAAGAGAAAGGGAATTAAATAAAGAGCTTATTTTATTTAATGAAAAACTAAGAAAAGATTAGGATAACAGAATTTGTTATTAATCATTTGTCATAATTTCGTTGTCCTGTGATGAAAATTGATCCTTTAATCGGTTTTCATTATTAATTGTTTTTTCTATTTATTTTCAAGAATTGTTTTCTTTAATTTCTTGTTTCCTTTTCTTTATTATAGTTTAAATATCAAAAACCCCCTTTTCTTTATATTTTCATTTCAGAAAA